ACAGATTTTTGCACTGTGATTACAGAAAATTGCACTGTGATTACAAAAAATTGCACTGTGATTACAAAAAATTGCACTGCTGTTTGGGATTAACTGCACTGAAATCAACCAATCACAGTCGAGTAATATCTTTATGTATATTATTAGTTATCGTATCAAAAAGAACTTCGACTGAACCTTTCAGTTGTCATTCCAGCTTTCAAGGACTTGAAATTTGGGCAAAGCAAACGTAACCCCAGACCATGCCTCCACGATAATGTTGTGATCGTACGTGGGTCGATGCGATAGTGTTGTTCAAGTTGCTGAAAGCATGAATGGAACAAAAGTAACTAAGCATTATAGAATTATGCTAATGCTTTTCTACTATTTTTATATTCATATCTTTAGTTAACGGTGATTATGGCAACTGGATTTTGAGTAAGCCATGCAGTGTTTCATGTGGTGATGGAGTAGAAATTTGGCGACGTTCTTGTAATAATCCTGAACCAAAATACAGCGGTCATAACTGCAGTGGTCTTGGGAACTCGTCTGAGTTTAGAAACTGTAGCAGAAAACCATGTCCAAGTTAGTACTTGAGAACTAACTTTATTTATATACTATATATTTCTATCATTTCTGAAGTGTTCTCCCTGAGGTGCCGTAAGAGTAATGAATTATTGCTCCAGTATCACTACAGGAGGGGATATAAACTTATACTAGATAGCTCGATCAATTCTAAACTGTTCTTCCCAGAGGTCCACTAAGGATCATCTTTTATAGATCTAGTATTATTTCAGGAGGAAACTTAAACTGAACTAAATTTATTTGTACTAGATATCACTATCAGTTCTATACTGTTTTTCATAGAGATCCGGTAAGGATCATCTCTTATTGATCCAGTGTTACTACAGGAGGAAACACAAACAATGCAAGCTAACTTTATTTTTACCAGATAGCTCTATCAATTCTAAATTGTTCTTCGTAGAGATCCACTAAGCCTGACTAAGGATCATCTTGTATTGATCCACTGTTACTACAGGAGGAAACTTAAACTGAACCGCTAACTTTATTTGTACTAGATAGCACTATCCGTTCTAAACATGCAGATCTTCATAGAGGTCCGGCAAGGATCATCTCTTATTGATCCACTGTTACTACAGGAGGAAACCCAAACCAAGCTAACTTTATTAGTAGTAGATAGCTCTATCAATTCTAAACTGTTCTTCCTAGAGGTTCACTAAGGATCATGTCTTATTGATCCAGTGTTGCTACAGGAGGAAGCTTAAACTAACCTAACATTATTTATACTAGATATTAGCTCTATCAGTTCTAAACTGTTCATCCTATAGAGGTCATGCAGTAAGGATCATGTCTTATTAATCCCAGTATTACTACAGGAGGAAACCGGGGAGAAGATATGCGGTCTGAATGAGGTCAAGTAGAAATCGGAAGTACAACCCTAGTCACATAGCTGTAAGGCACATGGAATAACCACTGTACTACCAGACCTTCTGTTTGTAAACGACCAATTGTTGTGTGCTGTGGTTAAAACCATGAGCATCATTATCCATTTTTATGAATCTATATTTTCTAGTTGATGGTAACTATAGCAACTGGACCAAGTCGTCACCATGTAGTGTCACTTGTGGGAAAGGTGTTGAAATTTGGACACGACGGTGCAATAACCCCCCTGGAAAATATGGCGGAAATTGTAGTAACCGGGGGTCGGCTCAAGAAATTCGATTGTGTGAGATGGAACCTTGTCCAGGTGAGAAATAAAAGATATTCATTCTGGTTACCCGTTTATTTCCTAATAACTATGGCCAAACTTTGCTCTGTTATGCTTGTTGGTGATGATACCGAAAGAAGATAAATGTAAATCTAAATAGTTCGAAATTTTTGAAAGCGCCTCAAAATAGCGCGTTCTTAGTCGGGTTAATATTGTAATAGACACGATGTCACGAATCCTTCCTTGGCTTCGAAGCCTCGCCACCATGAATCAGGACGGAAAGCACGGGTGCACCGAAACTCGGTTAGTTCCGGCCAGAACCCTAATCTTTTATGATGCAGCTTGCAAAAATTGTTTAGAGGGGAATCTTTACGTAACACGCGTTCAAAACTAGTGAATATACTTTTCCACTTGGTTATCACTATATTCAATTTTCTATTTAAGTCCTGATACGTTTCTCAAGCGGCAAACAAACTTTTTTAAGAAATATGTTTGGTGTTTTATCTGTAAAATTATGCTAAAATGAAGAGATTTTGTATGGTATTCCAAAAGAGAAAATTATGTCTGAAGTTCAGTATGTTTTTCTTGTATTGCTGTATAAATATGGCGTCAATAGTACTGCATCAATGATAATTGTATTAAAATTGACAATATTTAACTATTATCTTGTGTTTCTCAACCGCCAGAAACTCAAACGCAGTTTTCTAACTGCGCAAGCTACAAAAAAAGCTAAAGCAAATTAATTCTGAGAGGAACGCCAAAAAGATTTTAGGTTTTGAACACTTTTCATCGGAAATACGCAACAATGAAAAAAATTTCCTCTTCGTACTATTGGCGCGACTAAGCGGAAGGTGTTGGAAAGAAGTGAATCCATTCAAATGAAAAAAGATGTTTTAAAAATTTCAGCTCACATCGACTCCCAGACGATTGGTATCACTGCTGCTGCTGCTGTTTTGGTGATCATTGTAGCAGTTGTATGTTTTATTTTCCTTCTTCGAAGACGTCGAAAAAAAGGTGAGATCAAGTTTTAATTTCATTCATAGTCTTTCTACAAAATCGTCATTTTGAAATTCCAATTTTATAGTTTCTCCTTATTACGCCCGTTCGGACTTTTTACTGCAACATTCTCGCGGTCCTCAACAGCTGGAAGGCAACAATACTTCCGAAGAAATCGCGAGTTTATCACGAGAGACTGGCACTAGTGTTCAATATGAAAACCTGACAGCTGACGGTGACCCAGTTCCGGGCCTCTCGCGTGGTGTGGTGCGCTACCGAGGAGCTTACATGAACACAAGACCTGCTAGAAAATCATGGTATGATAGACTTCAGTTAATTCGACCATTAGCTATGGAGTGGCTTCGTAACGCTTTGGGGAATGTTGACGAGTTTGGCCGCCATGTTTATGACGTCATGCGACGCGTACGACATGTTTTTGTCCCATACAACAAGTTGGGCGATCTACAGCAAGGTGATTCAGCCGGAAGTGGAGTGGAGAGGAATAATACTTATAGTACATTAGAAAGACCCGCAGCAGTTATATTGCCCACGGAAAGCGAGAATGCGTCGACGACAGAAAATGTTTGATCTATCAGACTATCGAAGCATAGAACCTTGGTCCATTTCTTCTTTTTATGATTGACTGTAGTGATATAGGGCATACTAGGAACACTATTGCGTAAATCACCTAAACCCCTCAATTGGCGATTGTTTTTTCAACGTAGTTAAAAACTATAACTTTCTGGCTACGATAGTCATAGGGTTGTATGTATATTGCAAGACAATGTTAACACATATGTAAAATTTATGGTCAATAATTTATGTTAAAGTTAATAATAATTTTAGTAATAAATTGGGGGAACTTACCCCAAGCCCAAAATATCCAAAAACCGTGTCGTGAAGTCTGCGAAACGAACTGCGGGAATGCAACATCCAATGGGAGATGCAATAATCTTCACTGTAAAGGCCATGTCACAGAGTGCAATTTTTCTTGCAACTTGCAATGCAATTCTGCTCTTGAGAGATGTTAATTAGTCAAATCAGTGAAGAATTTTCGATATGTTGAGAAAACATCAGTGGAGTGTAATGAAAACTCGTATTTAGCAATTTTACATATCTCAAGAGTGGAATTGCATTGCAAGTTGCAAGAAAAATTGCAACCGTGTTACATGACCTTAATTTAAAGTGGCCGGCGAAATTTTGAAAAGGTTTTACATTTTTTGCAAAGTTAAATAATGCAATTTTTGGAGTAAACATTTGCTTTATTTAAGAAAATGAGTAAATTTGCTCATAAATTAGTCAATGATAATTGTATACTCAATATTTTGACTCACTTCGGTTGCATTATTCTACTGACTGTTGCAGTGTAATTATGATCATTTTTTTAGACTCCGTTCACAAATTATTAAAGGACCGGATGAGAATTCTTCGTGCGAATAAGTCGAACCTGACGAATCTGTGTACGGTCGTATTTTGTGCGCAGAAGTCACGATGGGGTTTGTTTGTTTTAATATTGGCGGTGGTATTATACTTATTTTAGCAATACTTATCATCACAAATGTTGGAGTTAATGTCTGGTAGTTTTATTTATAATTTGCAACTGCGCATTAGATTGTGCCAGGATTATAAAATTGTAATTATATACGCAAGACAGACAGACAGACAGACAGACAGACAGACAGACAGACAGACAGACAGACAGACAGACAGACAGACAGACAGACAGACAGACAGACAGACAGACAGACAGACAGACAGACAGACAGACAGACCTGTTTCGAGGCAAGAATTAGCCCGAATTTAGAGTCTGCTGTGCTTGGGTGGTGTATTATAATAGTCTTTAGAGCAAGCACCTTTCACCTCCTATATGCTTCGGACTTTAGATTCTGTGCTCATCCTCTCCAAATGGCACATACAACTCCTTGAAAAGTACTTAAATTGAAAATCTAAATTCAAGGGCGCTTGAAAACACCAAATTTGTTACAAGTTCTTGAAACCCGCTCGAAAATCATTCGTGAGATTGCATTGCAGCGCACAACATGATACACATACGTATTCGTCTCTTCTCCTAGCAGCCCCGTTCCATTGCCAGATCCAAAGAAAAAGTTTTTACTAATTTAACGTGTTCCTCAAACTAACAGGTGAGCATCATCACCAAGACAAAAACATGTACTATTTACTCTTTCCATTTAATATTTCTCCGAAATTACTCTAAAATTGCATGCCAGTGGAAGTTACTGTAGATGGAATGGTGGAAAAACGATGAAGACATATTGCCACAAGCTAGATGTTCAACTCCAACCAGAGTCGCTGAAAAACACATTGTGTAATTTAAAATCAAATGTTTAACCTGAATCGCTTTTCTGATAAACAACGCATTATGCCCCGTAGAGACGAGCAAGATTTCCTTAACGAATTTTTCTTGCTCGTGTGGACAATGAACACGTTTTTTTCGCTCAATTTTTCCTTAACAAGTTTTACGAGCCGCACCTTTTGAGTACGCAAACAATTTCATAGTTATGGCAAGTACTTCGTGTAAGACCCCAAAAACAGTTTCAGCAAATTATAAGTCGTGATCATAGAAGTTAAAGTCAAATCCCAAACCATGATCCTAGCCCTAGTTTTAACACCTTATGATTGTTTTAACCTACTTTTCATTACCTCTATTATAACTGTCATGTGTTCCTTACACGAAGTAGTTACTATAATTTTTGTTCAAAGCTATTTCCAACGAAATTATAAACAACTGAATCCAACGTTAAAAGCGAATTTCAAAATAATTTACCGTAATTTAGCTACAATTGTAGAATATTTAAGTACTGCAAAAGATGACGGTCAAATGATGTCAAATAACAGATTTCGTATTAAATACAGTCCATTATATACTGTAATTTACGATTATACAGAATAGTTACTGTAAGTAATAACAGTACATTATTTGGAAAAACAATTGCCAAGGGCCCTGGTTGTTTAACCATCTAACATAGTTAGGTTATTTTAGTAAGAACGTCCTGGTCAAATACAGGGTGTCTCAAAAATGGAATTTCAACAGGTTGTTGTTCAATGATGAGAAATGGCCACATACTCGTCAAATAAAAATTGCCGGTCGAATCACACTCTTCCACCGTTGGGAATTGAAAATACATTAATTATGCAAAGTTAGTCATTGGAAAAGCAACGCGAGTCTGCTGCAAGCTATTTGTTTCGTAAAAATTTTGATTACGAATGTTCTTAATGTTCTCTGTTCAGTGGTTAATTCAACCATGTTTAATGGACGTTCTTCTTGTCTCACTGAGACGAAGATTGACGAGTTGAGCTCATTGTAGATATTTTAACATTCAATTTTAATTCCCTCTTGGGAATTGTTTATGTTTCGTTTTCCATGCAATTCCCAACGGTGCCGGAAGAATGCGATTTCGACCGGCAATTTTTATTTGACGAGTATATATGAGTGCCATTTCTCATCGTTGCGATTTAAAAAGAGTATAATTAAAAAGCTTAATAAATGTTGTAAAAATTAAAAATTGAATTGTTTAGCCATGCACGTTTATGATGCGCGACAGCTTGGTTAATTTCTATTGTGTTCTTTTTGGACACGCTGTATAGGCTATGGTACGAAATGAGATGTAACAAGACGCCTGCTCAGGCGTTCACACTGGCCTCGCTGTTGGTAAAATACCATCGCAATATTCCAAAAAATAATTTGAAACATGTAGATGTTCTTTACTTCTTGACGGCCGTCACTTCATGATCACAGACATTCACAGGACGGCACAATAAAAATCCTTACAAAACCATAGAGTTCAGCGATATCAACATGGTCTCTCGTTTCGTATGATGATATATGACATACGCACACGCACGCACGTATGATGCATTGTATCATACAGGCGGTTCTTCTTATTTCGCAGCGGTGGAACCATGTGAAAACGCAGGGCTCTATAAAACGTGCCTTATAGCGCCCTTGAATTAAACGCGGGAAACGAGCACGTAAATTGCACAATAAAAATGTCTGGAACAGCTATCGATCAGCTGACGAAGACAGCGTCCAAAGCAACGAATCCAGTGAACTAAAAACACTAAACAAAGGTTAGTGTTTTAATTATATACTTTTAGTACTTTGTATAATTCAGTGTTATTAAATCTCTGCACACGATATCATTATGTAAAACGAAGAAATTTAATCGATCGAAGTTTTGTAGCGAATTGCTGATGTTTTAGACAGTCTCGTACTATTACTATCGGTCTATTAGTAAAATATAGAAATATTTTGTTGTATATTTATTGCCCAAATACCATGTAGCCAACAATTTTGAAAATATAAAACGAAACGCAATTGAAATGGTGTGTAATATGAGCTGAAACAGCAAGAATTACATGACAAATAATCTGAGCTTGATTTTGGGATATAGTCGATTTTTGTATTTCTTGAAAATTATCCTTTAGGCTAACTATTAAAAGTGACACATAATTAATCTGTAACACAAAACCTTTTATACAACCTTAAAATGCTCATTAAAAATTAATGAACCATGTGGCAAATCATGTCTGCCACAATATGCCATGTGGAGCGATTTTATATCTGATAAAACTCATCTTCATTAGTATTCTTTATATAATTGTTCATCCTAATTAGTATGATTGTATATAAATTGGTCAACCTAATAGGCAATTCCAGCTTTTAGTTTATGCCTGCTGGGAATGATGGGAAGTAAGGTATCTTAGTGCTGATTATGCTGAAAAATTTCAATAAAAACTACCAAAACAACAAAAATATTTCAATATTTACAAGTATAAAGCTATCACTACGTGTTTACACGGCCACCATTTCTATTTTTTCAGCATAATCAGCAATGTAATACCTTACTTCCCATCGTCCCCTGCACGCATAAGCTAAAAGCTGGAATTGCCTATTAGTATTCTTTTGTAGTCATATTTTAAGCTATTCAAAACACTCGATCTCGCGTTTTATCATATCTAAAACGCTTGGCTGCACCTTGCATTTTAAATATGATAAAACAGTCCTTCTCGTGTTTTAGATACTACATAGTGTGGTAATTAGTGGTGGGCGATATATTGATATTCTGATACTGAGAATTTGGTTATTGGCCAGTATTCCACATGCCAAGGGGAGAGTATTGCACTTTAATTAATGTCATGATGGCAATGATTTCACACATGCTGTAACACACAGGCTGATTGAGTTAAGCATGCAGAGTTAATGATGAAGGTTTGAGTAGCTTTCTGTGACAGTATGCAGAACAATGTCCAATAACCTAAGTAAGCATGACTGGGTTATATATGCACTTATATCTAATTTGTGTCGGTTTACTTTGATCGTCCGAGGTTTATAACTAGCTATTATGCCTTGAATAAATAATTACATCAAACTTTTCGACAAAACGCGAGAATTATTCATCAAAAATTTTTGAAAATGACAAACTATGTTAGAAAACATCCACAAATGAGATATAAGTTAGTTATAAACCTCGAAAGTCGGTTTATAACTGATATATTGCCCTCGGACGCTACGCGTCCTCGGGGGCAATATATCAGTTATAAACCTCCTTCTCGGTTTATAACTCTAACATGTACTTTTTGGTCATTGAGTTCGTCATGTGTATACATTTTGGTTGCACTACATATCCAGATGTACCAAGCTGCACCAATGAGCTATTGAAAATGTGAGAGTATTTTTTGATAGCTTCAAACATGACTACAATAGATGCCGTAGACTTCATTAGTATTCTTTATATAAAGAATACTAATTAGGTTGGACTTTATAAAGCAAACTGAAGATGAGTTTTATCAGGTATAAAGTCTCTTCCAGAGGTGTAACTTAACACTGGACCGGGGCAAGTGAATATCATGACGGCAGAGCTGCAAATAAATATTTGATTTGACACGGCATTTGTCCGATCACTTTTAATTTTGGTCGGACAGAACTTGAATTTCGTTGGACAAAAACCAACACCACTAAATTTGGTCGGACATATATACGTCACAAGATATATATATAAGTCACAAGACAAGTATGTATAGCCATCCCGGCACAATGTAACTGTAAGTGAAATGCTAGAATGCCTTGTAATTTTATTGCCAAATGCAAATTGAGTGAACTTGCAATCGGATTTTGTCACAGCAAAAAAATGTATAATGTGACAATTTATTTTTTGTGATCAAAATTACTTTTGCTAGGACATTTGCCAAATTTAGTCAGACATTCTCCGATGTCTGACAGTAATTTTCAGCCCCGTGACGGGCAAGTAAACGTTTTATCTTGCTTGCCCGATTGCCTTGCCACAAAAAGCTGGGCATCTTTAAGTTTATGTTTTCACTGTTGTATAAATTGTATATATAGTGCATTCAAATTTTTTGTGGCCCAAAGCTAGATCTGAGGCAGTATAACATAGCCATATAGAACGGGAGAACGGGTCGACATGTTGTTCCCTTGATTTATACACCCTACCTCGGTACCCCAGTGGCCATTGTCTGATGGCAAATTAATTTTCTTCAAGTCCAACTTGCCCTGAGGGCAAGTGGTCAAAATAGTAAAGTTACATCACTTACACCACTGTCTTCACATGATTTGCTAATGAGTTTATGAATTATTAATGAGTGCTTGAAATATATTTATCACATATTCACTGGCTTTATCAAGGTGATAACAGGGTGACATAAAAACAATATTGTCACTGATAACAATTTTTGTCACTGATATACTCTTTTTGTCACTGATATATTTTTGTCACTGATATCGCTTTTTGTCCCTTATGTTTGTCGCTGTCAAAACAAACATGGCTAACTCAAGGTCCAGATGACACTCATCAAAGGGAGAGCGCTGGCGCTTGATGGGTTAGATCTTCAAATTTGACTACTATATAAATTGTGATATTATGTATATATATATATATATATATATATATATATATATATATATATATATATATATATATATATATATATATATATATATATATATATATATATATATATATATATATATATATAAAATAGTTTGTGTAGGGTTATAAAAACCAATCATAGAGTGCTCAATGGATAACCAGAGCATAATAGAAGGACACAAAAACTTAGCAAGCTTTGTTTGGCATATTTATTACCATACAGTTTCGTACCACGTAAATAACGTGGCACTCTTCAGATAAAATAGCCTATGCAAAACCTATAGCTTCTTAACGAACTTTTTAAATATGTACAGATGGTATAAAGGACGCTTATCTAATTACAAATCAATTAACACCTCAAGTAGTGTCACGAAAATATTAGTATCAAGTTATAAAGTTTTTAAGTAGAAATTTATTAGCGTGTCTACACGTGGAGACAAGTTCGTTGCGACGATTAAGTGTTGCAATGTCCGGTTTACAAATAATGAAATACTTCTCCCAGATACACAAGTTACATCTCTTGGATGCATTACTGTAAGATTTAGCGCGTTTTAAAATTTTCCATCCGATAGAGTAACTAATATTATTGTTCTTAAGATTCCAGATGTATTTACTTAATTCAGTAGAATTACGCTTCTCATAGTTATTAAATGAAACTTTGTGATTGGTGTATCGAGTTTTGAATTCATTTTCTGTTAGTCCAACATATGTTTGAGTGGGCCGCTTGTCAGATGTTTTTACTGTGGCTTGGTAGATAACAGATTTTGCTAGACAATTTTTTGACATAGGGCATTCACTTGGTTTTTGGCAATTGCATTTTTTTCCGTCGGTGGTTTTAGCTCGGTGGGATAGCTTGGATTTATTATGTCCGTCGATGTTTTGTTTAAAATTACTCATGCAGCTGTAGCTAATCTTGACGGTATTTCTGTTGAATATCTTGTGTAAGATATGGGCTGCGGGAAATTCCTCGTCTAGAATCTTTAAAAAGGTCTGACCAATATTAGTAGCGACATTTTTGCTGAACGGTGGGTTGTACCAGGTTATATTTCGTTTCCGACTCCTTGAGTTGATGGTATTTTGGGATGTCGGAGGTTGTTGGTATTTCAATTTGTGTCGATAACCGCTCTTTGTTAGGGCTTCTTGATATAATGGCACTGCACGCTGAAACGAGTCTTCATCAGATGAAATTTCAGAAAGGCGCTTGTTGATCGCTGCTGGTATGTTGTCTAGTATTTTGGGTGGATGGTTTGATTTGTTGTGGACGTAAAGTGGAAGATTGTTGGGTTTAGTGAACGGCTGATACTTTTGTGTAGACAGATTCAGGGTGACGTCTAAAAAATCTACTATTTTCTTGTTGGCTTCGATGGTAATTTTTAAGCCATGATTGTTGAAAATGGAACAGATATCTTTTTTGATATTTTCAATTATACGGGGGGTTGCTTTTATAACACCTAGCCCGTCATAATCTCGATAGAGGCCGAAATTCTCACCGTGTTTTTGGGTGATCTTGTGTAACAGAAAAGATCCGACCAGCTCGCACGATTCCGCCCCGTCATAACTACCCATAGTTACGTCAAACAGGTTGGATGATGTTTTCTTGCCCCAGTGCTCTCTAGAATTATATAGGCATGATTTCTTTGCATGCAGAATAATATCTCTTTCATCATCCGTGATGTCGTCATAATTTGAGGCGAAATCTAGCGCTGCGTTGAGAAGATCGATTGAAATAGATGGCTAGAAGTCAACCACGTCAAAAGCAATGAATGAATATTGATCTTTGTTCGGGATGGTATTGAACCATGTTAACACAGATGAGGTGTTTTTCCACTGATTGACTCCAATACTTGCAATTACTTTTTGGTTGATTCGATCAAGGAGTTGTTTGCTTACTTTGCCAATTTCTGATTTAGCTGGGTTAATAAGGCGACAGGTAGGATTATTTTTGAAGTTAGGTTTATGATCTTTTAAGGTGATAAACGCTTCACGCTCGGCTGTAATATTAATCCTGTCAGCAAGATTTAATTTCGTCGCAATATCTTTAGCCTCGTTGTTGATTGAAGATACGGTGTCGGGTGTAATTTTTTTGTATGTTTTTTGTTATATTCTTTTGGAGAAGCTTGTTGTAAGAAGGAGAGTCCATTTTGTAGTAATTTGTAGTTTTGTCAGCCGGTACGAATAATTTGTCAGATGTCCTGATGCTTCTTATATCTGAGGATATTTTGTTTTGGAATGGGCAGTTGACTTTCTTGAATTTTACATTTGCGATCATGAAATTTCTTTATATATATATATATATATATATATATATATATATATATATATATATATATATATATATATATATATATATATATATATATATATATATAAGTATATATATATATATATATATATATATATACATATATATATATATATATATATATATAAATATATATATATATATATATATATATATATATATATATATATATATATATATATATATATAATATGAAAGATATGAAATTTCTTTACTTTTTTATATGTGCATGCGTAGTGTTATTTTATCCTGCAATCTGATTGGCTGCAAGTGCAGGCAGCGTATTACGATTTCTTGTCCGTTGTCCAAAGGAATTATTTTTAGCCGCGACAAACTGAGTAGTGAATAATGTGAGTGATTTGATGACCTGTTGATCACCAATTGTATGAACCATTACACAAAGGTAAAAACCATGGGGCCGAAATAAAATTGTATTGTCACCTTGGAGGCAGTCTCCCTCGCAGACGTTCTGATAGCTCTAACCCTCGCTAACTAACGTCTGCTGAAACAAGCAGCACAATTCCATTCCCTTTGTTTTAGGAGCTAATTATCTGGCAGTGTTCAAAAGAGTTAGAGCCAATTGGATGCCGCCTTATTGAGGGTTTAGCTACTGCATGGGGAAAGCCCTTGCACATGGGAATACTCGGGAATATATTGTTTGGTTTGAAATTTATTTACTTGCGTGGAGATATTTTGGAAACTATAGCCTTGAACTTCACGATGTTTACGTAGAATAATATTGTAATCATCTTCTCGCATGTTCTGCAAACAAACGGCGTATATAAAATGCAAAAGCTATGCAACAGGAGAAATTTTAAATTTTGTTAACAATGACAAACAAGCAATCGGGAAACTCGAGAACGAGAACAGATCAGGATATGTCCAATTGTTGCTATTAAATTCTTCCCACATGCCATGGCTTCGACGAAAAATTCTAAAACATTAAGCTCTCGTTGCATGTAGAAGAGTATAGCGAAGTTACATGTATAAACGTTTCGAAGTTTGGGCGAACTAGAAATTCATATCGGCGCAAATAAAAGTTTCTCGGGTTTTATTTGTGTTGTGTTTATTCATTCAAAAGTCAGAAGACGTTGTTCAAACAGCATATTAGTTTACTTTGAAACTAATATTTCGCTTTCTAAGCCACAGTAATATATCAATTTTTCTGTCTTCTGAGTTCTGTTGTCTTAAAGATATGTATCTGTATTAAAGTTTGCTAAAGCTGTATTAAAGTTTGCTAAATTTTGCTTTCCTTTTCAATAAAGCTGTATTAAAGATTGCTATCTATAATTTAAGAAAAAAAAGGTAGAATGTAAAAGAGAGGAATTAATTTGAAAACTGAAACTCAGAGTAACATCACAAACATCATGCATAAGTAAAAACAGTTTATCGGAAAAAGCAGTTTATAGGTATATATAGTTATTAAAATGAACTTTTCAAAACATTTTTCGAAGCGATTAGTTCAGGTTAAATTTTACATTAAATCAAAGTTCACTAGATGCAGAACAACATACCTGCAGTACATATTTTGGAAATTAATTGTTATATAGTTAAAAGCAGTAATCGTGTTGCCATGGCAACACTGACTTAAACCCGAGCCTGCGTTCAGTGTTGATTAATTACTAATACTTATGTAAAATCAATGTTTGAAAAATACAGGCGAGGGGTTGCTGCATGCAACATGCAGCATGCTGTATTTCTAGTTATAAGTTATTTAAGCGAGGATTTTAGTCATGCCGATCGAGAATGACAAAACCAAAACATTCCGAACGGCAATACTGTACTATTGCCCCAGCAGACATTACCACCCTGTCCCATTATCTTCGGAGGAGGGAATAACTCTCCACATTTATTAGTAATTTTCGACACGATTGACTTGCTCTGTAAAATTAATCCCCGAGCCGGCGGCGCGAAGCGCCGTGCGAGGGTACTAATTCCCCACGGCGAATTATACCCGGGTATGTGAAAACATAGCGGAGTGCAAAGTTGTCCTCCATTTTGTTAATGTCATGGACGGTTTTCGACGTTATGCGCATGTTCGAGTACAAGCTCGGTCGAAGGAATTGTTTCTCATTTTGAAAGGACGTATTTTGCTGTTTTACAGCATTTTTTGTTTTAAATTTCGTTAAAAACTTTACAAGAGTACAACACGGTTTTTTTTCTCGATTTTAACTGGAAACAAGCCTGCTGTTTCATGAATTAGTGCATGTTAAACCGTGAAAAAAAGTATGTATAATAATTGTTTTGATGTTTTCATGTTGATGTCTTTGATATTAATTTAATCGTTGTTGTCCCGGTTTGGGTAAGTGTAAACATTTCAGTAGTAAAATTCCATGCCGTACTTGCTTTGTGTGTGGTCGGTTTTATTCATATCCATGAAATTTTTAAGCCGATAATTCACTTTAATGTAAGCTGGTACGCATGAAATTGCAGTTAATGTTATCGTTAATTATAAAGCTAGCGCATCACTTGTGTTTTTATATTTGTTTATAATTGTCTTAATACTTTATGTGGATTTTTTAAACTTCATCTGTTAAGAAAGGCGAGGGGTTGCTGCATTCATGTGTTTTCTAGTCTTAAATACTATTATACATATCCTGTACCTGGAATTTGAATAACAGCCGGGCTTGAAGTGACGTTCCATTCATTAACAGTACCATTTGTATCACTTCTTATCAATGATATTATATAACGATCAATGCCATTTTCTGGAAATTCTGGCGGCAACCATGATACATTAGCTGCATTCCCCTTAATTACATAAACCGCCACGTTCATAGGTTTACTTGGAACGACTGAAAAATACAATAAAATCACTTAATATTTTTAAAAAATAGTAAGTATAGATTTGGCCGACTTAGTTGACACCAATTCTTGTAAGAATTGTGCCATATGTAGCACTATAATATTTAGTAGATGATAACTATAGATTTATTCGTGATCATATAAGCCAATCAGGAATGCGAATAATTTTTTTAACAGGCGAGAAAAAAGCTTCGCTTTGTCCTATAAGGGACCGGTCATTAATAATGGGAGGAGGGCGGTGGGTGACAAAGGAGGGAGGGCGGCTTCAAATATTCCTCCTGAATTGGGGGCGGCCTCAAACTGAAAAACATGTGAAAAAGGGGCGACCCCAATTTTTTAATACCTTCCTACTCATTTTCAATCTCTCGCCTTTATCTTATCCCATAATATATTTCACCTTTTAGTTCCTATACTATCGGAGTTTCCATAGTTTATTACCTTTTATACGCAATTCACCATAGGTGTCGGAGTAAATGACAACCATGCATTTTGAATACTGGTCCTCTAATTATTTACGCTACACAATGTCTTAGCACCAGTATTTGTCCCATTTCGTATTTTACACCAAAAATGTAACAAATTAAATGTT